CCTTCTATTCCTCTGAGAAATCGATTCGTCGCTCTGCGAATATATCGTACGATCGTTGTAATTCTCGTGTTAAAATATTTGTAATTTCAACTGTTACAAATGATTTCTTTAAAAAAAGGAAAAAAAAAAACAATTTCAAGGATATGAATACATTTGAATGTAAAATTTTCAAGATAACAGTTTCCACTTGCGAAAAAATGCAACTTCTTTTGAGAGTTTCCCCCTCAAATATATTCATACCTTGAGACAACGGGTGATGATGATAAAGCTCTTCAAGAAGTTGTAACAATTAGGTTACGAAGTTTTTTACATGCCGCGTCTCTTTCTCGCGGATTATTATCTACAATCTGGTGAGGGGTGATGTTGCCCGATGAAGAGCAGACGGTTGATTAAGAGGGTACGAATACTTTCTCGATCGAAAGTTTAATTACTCGACGTTCAACGATACAAATATGATAATAATGCAAAGAGTCTGGATAATCTGATTGAAACGTTATATACGAAGCATATATTTTTATTCCTTTCATCTTTCCAATTATGCTTCTCTTATGTAGGATGCGTTGAAATTGTCGATCGCATGAAAGCTCGACGTTCATAAATTGATTTTTACTCGATTTAAATGCATACAACATATTTGCATACGTTACTTTTCATTATCGGATTCTTGCTCCATCTCGAGCCCTTTAATCAAAACTTTCGCCCTGTAAACACACGCAACATCTTTTTATAATTTGTAATTCATCTCGTTTGTAATTTAAATTTCAAACTTTGACCAAACTGACATAAAATGCCCCGTTTTTTGCGCGGAAAACACTGATTTTAACAGCTGATTTTAATTTTTAAAGATAGCGCGACACGAATATAACGTTTAAAGTTTCGCGAGATGTATCCATATTTCGCATAAGATATTTTCGTGGCGAATACACGCGAGAAACTCATCAATCATCGAATCCGATATATTCTCTGTCTGTCGGGTTGCATGAAAAATATCATGCAGCAGGCTCAAGATCGTTCCACGTGACAAATCATTGCACCGTTTCCGAAATACGAATTCCGGATAAAAATCTCTCTTGTTTCTCTAATGTACTCTATTATCTCATCCGATTCGATTTTTCTTTCGAATCATAAATATCTTTTTGACATAAAAACTTCGATCCTATTATTCATGTATCTGCTATGTTAACAAAAAAATTTCCAATTATTTCGTTTCTCCCCAGAACCTCCTTCTAATTTTCTTACTAATTAATAAATTAATAAATTCCAAAATTCTTCGACGAAAGAATTTTTTCTTCTAGGTAGTCTAATAATAATTTTTAAGTATTTCGAGATTTTATAATACGCGTCTATTAAGGAATATCAAACTTTTGATTAATGTAATGTATGCATAACCGTGTTAATCCCATAATCGATAGAAACAGGGACGGCAAAAATATACGGCCGCTTTTTCGAAAGCACTTCAAATTTTCCTGCTCGTCACGCAATAAATTCTTCCTCTCTCACAGTTCGACCAGTAAATTATAAAACACGGTCTTCCTCGTGCACAAGTGGTGGAACAGTTCGCCGATAAACCATACCGATATTACGCAACGAGATTACCAACAGCATCGGTGAGCTAATGTTCGCTCAACTATCGTTTCATTCCTTCCAACGATGAATTTTATTTATCCGTGTTTAGCCGTCTATTTTTGCCAATTATTAATATCCTACGCGATCCTACGCCGATATATTTTTCAAAATTATATCCGTAACGTTCTATTTTCGCTTCCAAACTTATATATATGTGAAGACCAAATAGGATATTACAACCATATTGCGATTAACATAGCGGTTGCAATGTGCTTTCGCTTTTTTTCGAAAGATAAACAGAGCTTTCAACGTACGAGGAGGGAATGTTAACAGCATCATTATTTCGCCCGCGATCCACCTCGAAAACGTGGAAACGCCGAATCGTGTTTACAGAGCATTCAATTTTTGAAAACTTTAAAGACGTGGAGTTGGTAAAAAGGAAAAAAGAAACATGGAAGAGTAGACCACGCGTGCGAAACTTACGTATAATTGATAATAAAGGGGAGGGGGAAAAAAAAGAGAAAAATATCATATCATAATTTACTAGTATTAAAAAGATAAAAATAGGATAAAGAAAATGAAAGACGCGCGTGTGAATGAAAATGAATTGCGTGCAGTCTTGGAAATGAATTGCGAAAAATGAATTTAAAAATTAAAAATAAAAACTGTAAGAGAAATATTAAATATTGTAAGTATCGTGTAATCAAAAACGAAAAAAAAAGAGATGTTCAGATCGTTTTCTTTAAATGAAAACTATTAAGATCGTTCCAATACGAGTTTTGTCGTGAAAGAACACATTAATTACACGAATCTTTCTTTTTTTACCCTGTTAATAATTAGAAACGATCTCTGTTGCGGAAATTTGAGCAACGGATGAACCGAACTTTTTAAAGTTTGATCAATGCTTACGGGATCCTTTGTAAAGTGAGGAAAAAGAGGAAGGACAACTTGGAAAAGAGGAACAATGAACGGGAGAAGTAACAAAAGATTGGAGATTCTATGCCCGAACGAACGGAATTCCCATGATACAGAAGAAACTTTCTTATTCCCATATCTTTTCTTTATTAAATATTATTAGTGTACTTAATTAGATTGCTTTATACAGGGATCAACTTGGTCTTGGAAAATAATTTTCGCGAAAATTTCGTTTTCAAGTTGCTTATATTTCCCGCATACCGAATTTAAGTTGTATCTTAAATCTTAAATTTCTTTGTCGAAAAGCTAGACAGTATTATATTCGAATTTCAAATCATGATTCACTGTTTGTCAATTCCTATTCGACGACTCTCCTATTATATGAAGATATATATCTCCCTCCTCGAGAATAAAATTCCTTGGGGAATTGAATTCTACGTCCTACCACTAAAAGAAATGCCGTGAAAAAATGTATTCTATTCGCTTTATCGTTATCACGTTTCTCTTTTAGAGGCCTGTAATCCATCGAATAAAAAGTTCGTTCGTTTCACTTATCGATACATCTTCCTCTCAAGCCTGTTACGATCACATAAAAGTTGCTCTATGCTAAATTACGCCTCGTCCTCCATCATATCGTTTCTGTTCCCTACTACGTTACTTCTACATCGATAAATCGCTTCTGGAACGGAGAAATTACTTTTAATCTATCCACCCTTATCCCCTTTTTTACACCCCTGTATATCCGTAATATAATGACAGTGTTTCTGACTTTTATATTTTTTGTAAAAAAAAAAAAAATAAAATGAGACGCAAGTTTCATTTATTCTTTCACAAACGAAACGTTATCTTTGAATCTTTACACGAAACTAGAGAACAATTTCACACCTTTCTCGTGGAAAATAACAAGGAGCTAACACGGAAAAATTTCCGTGAATTTTAATCTTTTCCTTTGGCTAATCTTGTTAAACGAACGTTAACTATTCCCTTGTTTTCGCCGTCTTTCCTTCGCTGTTCTCTTTACCACGTTATCATCGCGGTCGTATAAGCAGATAAATTATACGCAACCGACGCTATTTTCACCCTTTGCAACGATGCCGCAAGAAGAAAGACACGTAGCGTGTTGCATACGCGGTGCACATGGTTTATCTATTCGTGGCTCCTGTTAATAAACTCTAACTCTTTTCTCGACCACTGTTACGGCACCGGTTTCCCCGGTTAACCCGGAAACCAGTCGCTAAATTGCATCCAACTCAAAGATTCCTAATTAATTTTCGAAACAAACGTGTACTTATTGGAATTGGATGCATACGGTTCAATTTATTCGGGTGAAATAACTTTTATTATAGATTAATTAATAAAGTTATAGATATAAATTTTCAGATATATCTATTAATTTTTGTTTAAATAAATATTTATCTTGGTTAGAAAAAAAGATGAAAGAAAATCGTTTAATAGATCTTATTAATCTACAAACATTAATCCACGTTGAAGAAAAAATATTATTACTCATAGATTGTCCCGTATAATTATTCGTTTCGTTCAAACATATTGATTCGTTAAGTGATTTTTATCATGTTTTCTATCTTCCAACGACAGATTATTGTGTCAGATATCGCATTTTGTTTTTGCCAAGCATTTCTTACTATTCTCGCGCATAATTAAATGGAACAGTTTACGAGTAGAATTAAAGAAAAACGGTACACGCCTATACACGAAGTTTATATATACTTGCGAAATAATTTACAATATGGATGTACCATGCAATGAATAAATAAATAATCTAACATAAGTGCATTATGAAGCTCGTGGTTTTACGTTATAGACGCGTAGAAGCAATATTCAATGTGATCGATGATTATTGTATTATTAAACGTTCTATGATTCACTAATATATCAACGAATCTAAAGGTTACTTCGAAATTCAAAACAAAACATGCTTCCGCCCGTTTCGTGGAAACGATAACTAAACTACTAATATTTGTGTATTCATAACAAACATGAATACGCGACGATATTAAGAATGAGATATACATAACATTAGATGAGACGTAATTTACTATGAATTTAAACAAGGACGCGCGAATTAGTCATAACCTAAAGAAAAAAGCGTATACGTTCGTAACTTGAAACTTTCCGTAGCAATCGTTCGTACTTTTCATCGATCAGTTTAGCCAATTAAAACAATAAGAGCGTGACGTGGTATCGAACGCATCGAAATCGCGTATATAACGAGATACGTTATTACACACGCGAAGAGTACGGAAATTAATCTTCGCGCAAAGTGTAACGCACTTCAAACATGTCACGAGACGGCGATAAAACGAAGGATCGACGGTCGAAGTATGCGCGAGACGCCACTAGGGGGGAGGGGGAACGGTTAACAGAATAGGCGGGCAAGGGGTACCAACACATCGCGGCGAATCGAATACCTGTCGAATTTTTAACCGACACGGTTTATTTTTCTGGGCGAAGATTCTCGCGTGCCAACATCGTCGTCGGCGTACATTGAACTCACTTACCTCAGCGTCCCTCTGCCATCGAGTCAATTGCCAGCCACGTTCATCGGTCCGTGGAACGGCGTTTCTTCTGATGCATGTCCGCTCCGTTTTCACTATGATCAAATCCGCGCCGTGGACGATCCTTTTAGCACACTATCGTTGTCACGCCGGTCCTCGATTAAAACACGCGGCAAAACCAAGTCGATTACGAATACGCGTCGTTCTCACATGAAAAAAAATAAAGAAATCACAACACTGTTCACCGGCTTTTCACTGGATCCCGTACATCCATCGAATGACTCCCTCCACGCCGCAGTGTTGCACGGGAACAACGACGATTTGGCGCGAGAATTAAAATCACGCAGTGAGTGAATCACGAAGAAAACACCGACCAGAGAAAGAGAAACGAACGGAGGAGGGAGAAAACGAGAGAAGGGCGCGTGTAGTAGAGCACCAGCCGGCCGACAGGACACACCACGACAGACTGAAAATGAGGGTAGAAAACGTGGTTGCCTTCGCGACGCCCTCGTGCGTAGTCGGCCGGCATCGGCACGTTTCGCGTACCACTGTCTCGCTCAGCGTTCAGGGCCGTCGCACTCTCCGTCGGCGCCATTCGGGTCACGTGGTCATATGAGGGGTGAACGACGCGACTTTCTCTCTCTCGCTTCGATGTTTGCCAGCCGTTTCTACTTGTTTTACTCCACGATAAAAAAGGATAGTGAAAAGAGACGAATGACTGCAAAATACTGGTTACCAGTGAAGAATTATATATAGGTACGTTTATATTCTTACGAACGTATTCTTTCTAACCTAATGTACGATGTATATATAAAAGAACATGATTGTACAAAATATCGAGTTTTGATTTCGCGCGGTTTTAATGAAAACATAAGCTTGTATTATAAGCTTGATATTTTGTTTCGAATTAAGAAGTGTATAAAATAGTGAAAATATTGTGCAGCAATACTTCAAACGTACAATCATTATTATAAGAATGAGGTTAAGTATGTTATTAAATGACAACAATTGCCTATCGCAAAATTATTTTATTGGAAAAATGATATTTCTGTGAATGTAAAAGTGCAATATATGTGTAACAAATCAGTTACTACACTTTTTAATGGTTATTGTTGATAATTTGCAAATTGTGTAAGTATCGTGCAAGCATTCGTTTGAATGGAATACACAAGCATACATATTTTTACCATTTCTGTTTTTGTTTTCATTGTGGAAATGAATTATCGCGTAATTCAAAGCACGTAACTTTTATATACGTGATCTTATTGAACATTAATATTCAATAGGAAATTTGGAATGGAATCGGAAATATTAATAAAATCACCATTCATTCGTTTCAAACTTTTATCGAATTCATAGGATTTAAAATATTAAAGAAAATCATACTTATAAAATATTCTTGTTGTGGTAAATTAGTCGCATAAATAATATTGTATCATGAAACAGGATCTTCTCGATATTCGATTTCTCGATAGACTACGACCACGATGCTATTCATGGAAGACGATATTTGTAAGAAACGAAGTTTTCTAGAATTCTTGTGCAACAAAAGAAACTCAAATCATATATTTCTACAATCTTCAATTACGACGTAATGGGTAAAGTATCTGAATTTATATTGTTCGTTCTATACCATTAGAATAATAATCTGAGCTACTTCGAATTTTCTCGTAATTTATTTGATCGAGATTCTGATCTATAAATTTATAGGTTATGAATACATAATAAAATAATTTTTTTGAAATCCCGAATATTTTATCTATATATACATAAATACATTTGAAAAAGATAAATTAATAAAAATTGGAATTTTGTAAAACTACCATGTTTCAAACTAAATTTTTTATCGAAGCAATATGATAAAAAATAAAAAACTGCAGGAATCGTTATGCGAGAAATTTTGAAGTCATTATTTTATCTAATAACTGCGTTTTTCCGTTATAAAAATGAATATAGGGCAAATAATTGCAAGATGTCAGGTATAATTGAAGATGGAAGCTCGTCATCTCGAAGAAAGGCTTTTACCTTCTAAACCATATCGAGTTTCATCGAAACATCAACATTCTCGTTAGAATGCGGGGGTTCTCGTAAAAAGCACTCAAAGCACTCTAGATGAAATCGCCTGTAAACAAATTATAAGTTATTGTTCCCTTGAATACGAATACATCAGTACATCACGATTATGAATTTACCATGAGAAATTTTTATTTCTCCAATGGTTTCCATAATAATCAAAAACTTTATCTATATAAAGGATAAGGCTATTATAATTTAGGCTTTTTTTTATTATCATTTACATAAAGAATAAGGCTTGAATATTTTTAGTGGAGAATAATTGAGATAATAAAAAAAAAATTTCAAAGTATAATGATAAAATGACCATAAAACAACTATAAGAGTAGGTTAAATTGCATATTAAAATTAACGTTTATACTTTATATTCTCATTTGTTTAAAAAAAGATTCTTAATGCTAAAATGTAGAAACAAAACGTGAGCTATCAGCAAGTTTATACCAACATGTATAATTTATCATATTTTTTACAAGAAAATCGTGCTTTCCATTTCCAAAAATATTTATTAATCCTCTAATTTGCTTTCATCGATATTGCGATAAAATATGATCTACCAGTTTTATTGTCGTTCATAAAACTTCTCAGAAACTTCAGTACGACCTCGTTTGTAACCCTGTATGCACGACACTTCTTTCGTGACAACAGGGCGCGAATGCTTGGAAATTTGTCTTATGAAACTTTTTCACAAAGTTCTGTCGCGACCCATATGTTAGATTTCATGATGAGGGATGTTTCCTTACTCGAATTTCAAAGACTTGATGAGTCTTTTCTCGCAGTGTCTCATATTAATGACTAGTTTGCATACTTGTTTTACAGTTAAATTATTCAAATTTAAAAGTTCGCCCTGATATTATACATCATTGTGTAATTTGGGATAAAATGGGACCGTGACGTGAAATTTAGATCAGCAAAACATAACTATTGGAAAATACACAAATGTTCTTCGAATATATTTCTTGTAATTAGCAATAAACTATCGTAATTGCCATCGTTATGACTATTACGCATCACATATTAACTAACTAGAATTTATTTATCTTGATTTTATATACTCGATCTGCATAAAGTTGTTTGGCGTGCAGCATGAGGCCAGGTGTTGTAGAGTAAATGCAAAGAGTTGGTGGCCGCGACGCAGAAGTCCTCGTTCTAAGTCCTCATTCGTTGAAGTAGCACGGAAGAAGGGACGATTTATGGTCATTAAATAATGTAACGAAATTTATTCCGCCGCCTTCGTTCCAGGAACTCGCGGCGTTAAATTTTCGAGGCACGAACGTGTGTCTACGATTGCGATATTAATGGTCGCGATGTAATAGGGATTCGATAACTGGCCAACGGCCAACAATCGACTCGCCTCTGCTTGCGAAATTCCGCGAAATTCCCAAGAAAATTGCACCAAGTTTTGTTTCGAACCGTGTTACGCGCACCCTGATATTTACTTTCGTGTCTTTGTATGGTTTTCACGCGAAAATGAGAAAGATCGGCCAACAATATCTCTCTCTCTCTCTCTCTCTCTCGCCGTATTTTCAACCGCATTAACGAACCCACGTTATTTTTCTCGCGCCATTTTTAAAAAATTTAGCTGACATCGCGAAACTTGTTTATTCCTCGTTCACCTCTTACGGGGGAATAAATTTTTCCCCGCCCATTCATAAATTTCCGGGAAACGGCCAAGTTCCTTATTTCCAACCTCTTTTGCCTTTCCTATTTTTTTTCTTTTTTTCCTCTCCCTCGGAATAGTCGTCAGAAACTTGCTCTTTCTAGTTTGCGGTGCAACTGTCCCGGAGATAACTCGGTGGAATAGAGGTAACAACCTCACCGTCTTATTTATGGTCTTCTGGGGGTCTATAATTTAATCGAAGACGGACTGTTGCACGCGTTATATTATAAAATATATTAGATCTGGGATTTAATTCAGCCTTCTTTACGTTTGTAATCCCGATTTAAACATTCATCTCATTCAACGAGATTTTTTATATTGGATTCACGGTTGCGCGTTTATTTTCTTGAACCAAAATTCTCTGAGAATCGAAGCACATATGTACGTATATGAATACGAATATTTAAAAAATTTTGAACCAGATCAAATAGCAGATTTAACGGATTCTAACTTGCATTCACGATATATCTATCATCGAAAATCATTATAAATCGTTCGATCACATTAAATAATAATTCCATCATAAAATCGAAGAGTGGTAATCGAGTGGTGGAACAGCAGCAGGGTCTTAAGCGAAAATCCGGACGTTATCGCGGAACTTTTCATCGGGTTTGGGTCATTGCCTCCCAGCAATCGAGAGATACTTGGCCGGATAGGGCACGCGATGCATTAAAACCGAATTTACTCGGCGGGCAATTCGATGCATGCACCGAGACTTGGCCGTATGCATTCGCGTGACTCCGTCTTCGTAATAAGTGAATTTACTAGGTTGGCTCGGGCCGAAAACTTGGCCTGACAAGCCCGCTGCATCGAGGCCATTCAGCCCGCGAAACTCTTCGCTTGTTTGGAATCTGTTTAACGGTTTCCCAGAGACCTGGTTTTTCGACGCATGCAACGCGAATGCGGTCGTGAACTATGGATTCGCCACCGGGACCGCATGCAGGTTCGCGTGTGTTCACCCCTTTCGCCTGACGCGGTCATTGATTCCGTGTTTATTCCAAGTACTTTGCCTCGTGTTTTCGATATAATACGAGCGCCTATCGCGAGAGCGTAATCTTGAAAATTGTGTTCGTAATTGGAGGACGTATTTCTTTTTTAAACTCTATAATTTTTATTCGATGCAGTTAAATTTCGACGAAGGTGGGATAATTATGTTCGCCACGGTAATGTAATGACGTAGGAAATTTTTGGACAGGATATTAATGCTATTTCTAAAATATAAAAATAGGGAGAAAGAAATATTCATTAGCGGCGTGGACACATCCATCTCGCGCATCCGTGTGTGTCAGTCATACTTGATGGATTCGTCGAATCCGCTGAGCAAAAATAGGTTTTGCATTACAACGAGAATTCGCATCGCGTTCTTCGAATTTTCCTTGGATCTTGATACCAATAACGAGCGGAATATTTGAATACTTCAAAGAAAAGAATGAAAAGAACGGGAAATTTGCAGTTTCACGTTTCAACAATGTTTTTACAACGGAAAACTTACGACTTTTATCTCTTCCCCTCTCGATTCCGAAATATCGATAAAACTTTCTATAAATTTGCATCACTTTTCATCAAAAAAGAAAAAAAAAGAAAAAAACTTCATTCAAAGTTCACGCGCAGATATCGTTGCGATTTGATCGAATGTAGCATAGAAACGGTTATATACGATTTGTCAGAGAGTACTCTTCAAAAGAATGAAACGAAAAATTTCATCGTTATTTTATTTGATCCCGCCTCGACCTCAAATATCATAACCATTCACGACACTTTTACTTTAAAAGCTGTATACAAGGATGTACAAATCCAATAGTCGGATTTATCTTTTCTTTTCTTCCTTTTTTTTTTTTTTTTCTTCAAGAGTGTCGCGAAGTCACGGCTCGAGTCGCATCGAAGAGGAAGATTAGAAGCGTCCCCTCGAGTTGAACGATAAAGAGGTTTAGAAGGGGGGAGAGAACGAAAGGGGATGAACAGCACAAAGGAACCATACGAACCCGTTGTTTCATCGGTATCGTAAAAGAGACACAGAGGACAGGGATTCGTCTGATGACCAGGGCACAAGACAACCGCTATTAAGAAAAGTCGAGTTCAATAAACTTTCGAACAAAACGGTTGGGTTATTGATCTTCCAGTTACGTCACCTTACCTCTTTTCCACCTGGTAGCTCGTCTATCGAACCGCATAGACCAAGACATCGCATTTACCAACGCGCAAATGATCCTTAAAAAGTGCCTCGAATCACGAAAGAGGAAGTGAACGGTCGATGAAACCCGCCATGATTTTCTGCATTCTTATTCCTCCCGTGCTCTCGCCATATCGATCAGTTTCGCGTGGAATTTTTAGCAGAAAAACGACGCGACGTATAATAAATAAGTGGAAACGATTGGAACAAGATATAACGGTTGAAAATTATGATTAATGCAAAGTTATCTTACTAATCGTGATTATTAAATAGTTATTTATACTAAGTAATTTACGTTAGCTAGTAGATAATGGAAGAAATAATCAAAGATTATAATTAATTCACCAATCGTTAATCGTAAACGATTATACGATTATGATTAAATCATTAATTTATTTGTAATATTACGAATATCTTTTTTGTTAGTGGATATTAATCGAGAATAATTAAATTTTATTCTCTTTGAAGAAAGATAAATCCAATTTAACTTGCGAATACATGAAACGAGTAATAAAATAATTTATTGAAAAACTTGAGAGAAATAATTTGGAGAAAAGGGAAAACAAATCAATTTATACACGAATTTAAAAAAAAAACTTTAATAAGTTTAGAAAACTATATCTCGTTTTCACAAAATTTAATAAATGTATCATTTAATATACGAGATTATACTTCAATAAATCCGTTAAGTTTAATTTTTTATGGGTTCACTGGGTTTTCAATATCTTTTAGGTACGCGAATGTTCGAAAAAAAAAAGGAACTTGCAAATAGTTTTGTGCATCCGCCAGAAAACCGATCGGCCGAGTGGATTCGACCTGTGAACGTTTCAATTTTCATTTCCATGGGTTCGACACGCAAAATTGCACGAACCATTTATTTCTCTCGGAGAAATCTCTCTTCTTTTGTCCGTCCAAAATATGGTCATCCACGGGCAATTCCATATTTTCAAATTAAATAGAAAAAAAAAAAAGGAGATCCTCATTAATCGATGTAACAATATTTTATTATTTTACCGATAAACTACATAAAATCTACGATACGTAAACTATCAATTATAATATTTAATAACAAATAATCCTAATTAAACGTTACTACTTCGAAGCTGTAAAGAACGAAATATCAATCCATCGATTCGAATTTGTAAAGAATTAATTAGAAGAAAAAAAATGATCGTTAAATAGGTGAATCCATTGTCTCGCAATTAATTGGTGTTGAAATATAGAAACTGGTTTTGTCGTCGAATAGTCAGAATCGATATTTCATCCATACCACAATTCCTGATTTACGAGCAGGCCAGCTGCAATGGATCGACCGGATATATCTTCTGATCGTTTTCTTTCGCCGTAGGCCGACGACGATTCAAGCGCCGAGAAGACGTTTCACCATGTAGCCAGGGAAGGCGTAAATCGCGCAACCGCCCAACACCAATAACAGCAAACACACGATGCAGCATATTATCCTCCATTTATAATAGCGACAGACCACGTAGCGAAACGCTTTCCACGGATTCAGGAACCAGGAGAAGGAAGTCTCCGGCCGGCTGTAAATTATAGGAAATAGGACGTTCTGGGTTATGATTGATTCGTGGTGAAAAATGATCAATGTTTCCGATCGGATTAACACGCGTAGAGATGGATATTAATGGCTGCTATTATTACTGATATTCATTTAATTATATAATGTTGTTTTAATGGCGGCCATGTTTAAGTGAATTTAATTACACTCGCTATTCATCGATCGTTTTGCTGGAATATAGATAGTTTCGAAGGTTTCAACTTTCATCGTAATTTTGATAACATCGTTTCATTCGTCGATCGAACAATGGTGATGTACAACAAAATATCTTATCTAGAGTTATTTTAAATTTCACAATTTTTTTTTAATTTGTAAATGAAATTATAATAATTAGGAATTTATCATACTTGAATAGAAGAGTAATTTTTTTTTTAAACAAGTGACATGGATCAAACAAAGTTTCGTTTAAATTCAATCCAATCATCAATGTATATCTCGTTCTCTTCAAATGAATCTTAAATATTCTTAAATAAAAAAAAAAACAATTAATTAAAGAACAAAGTTTGAATATTTATGACATCTATACGTCGAACAAGCTTTAAAAACTCATTAAGCTAGGAATTTTTACGGAATCGTTACGTACGTTGTAGAGATGAAATTATGAGAAATTAAAATTGTTCAACGATTCGACGAACGTATCGTCACAGATTATTAATCAGATACAAGCGATTCGACATTTATTTGCCACGAATCGTGCAAAAGTCAAATCTTTCGATCCTTCTTTTCGAAGCAGACAGACAGTGCTTCGAATAGAATAAATTGATCTCTTTCGAAGATTAGCCGGAAATATGTACATCGATGTCATCCGGTAGCCGAATTAACTACGTCGACTTAATAATCTCGTTAGTTAGTTGCATTTATACAGATTGACGATCAAAATCGAAAATTAATCCATTTAAATTTGATGGAGAGCAATATCCACGTTAATTTAATTTGTGGCTGAGCATGTTATTAAATTTTGATACGTTCGTCGGTTTTATTTCGATCCAGCCGCGATTCCTGATTTCATACGATCGATGAATAAACGATACATCCTTTCGAATTGGTTTCTCGTCGATAATTAAATATTTCGTTTCGCGGATGCTTTTATATACCGTTCCTCGAAATATCTTTATACCGAGGGGTATAATGAAAACTTCTCGACACGGTAATTTAACGTGGATTATTGAAAATTTATTGGAACTCGACATCAGTCTTATGCAAATAATCACCGCGAGTCGAGGGTAAAAAATTTATGATGATCGATCTCGATTCGAATTTTGCGAATAATACTTTCGAGTGCAAATATTTTCATTGATGAAATTATCGTATAAATTTCTTTTTTGTTTTTTCAACAACCGACTGACTGAAGTTCCATTATTTTTTTTTTTTAATAAAGTTTCATACTCTGGTGGTGGAAGTTCTTGCGGCGGCTTTCTTCCTCTGCCCGCGGGATTCTCGTCGGCCTCGTCCGCTTTCAATATTGATATTTCCATTTCGATTTTACCCTGGATCGTATGGTACACATTACGTCACACGAGCCCACTTCGATGCTCTACGAATACTCGTTACAAAATAAAAATAATAGACGAAAGAAATCGAGGTAAATGTATTCGTTATCGAATGAAATACTTCGAGCGAGTAATTTTAACAGGCGAATCGAAAGGCTTTCGATTTTTAACGAGACTGTCTTTTGATCTTCCACGAAGCAACGTCACGATTCGGACGTATATTTTTTTCGATCAATATAGCGAAGAATTTAATGATAGAGATTATATATACGTACATACCGCTTGAACGTATTGGCCAGCGTTCACGCTTTGCTCGAACGGCCACCAAGCTTTGACTCGAGTCACTTTAAACAAATTGATCGTGGGTAGATTCGGGTTGAGCAATTTTAAAGTACAATTTTTCGGGTTCGGACTTCCTCGTGGCATTGCGGACAGATCCAACGTTAGCGCCCCTAAAAATAAATTATTTCTCGAATCGATTCTTTTTTCCTTGGAATGAAAATAAAGCAAAATGTTGGTAATAATGTTAATATTTATATTTTATTTACGAGCACAGCGATTAATTTGATATTCGCATTACCGAGAAAGTCGTCTGGAGAGAAATGATCGCTGTCCCAAACTTGCAGGTACAATCTGCACGGCAATTTTTCCTCGGTTTCGGTCAAAGCGAAGATTGATATCTTTCTCCGGACAATTATAACGCGCTCGCTCTTGCAATACATGACACGAAACACGAATCGCCAGTTGAAATTGCCTTCGCCGTTCAAAGAATTGTAGTGGATGTCGGTCTTTTGGTAATCGTCGTAAGTGATCCACCTGCAACGTAACGCGGGAGCAAAAGAGAAATAAGCCATCTTTTGCCTTATCTTCATAAATACCCTTTAACGTAAATGTCGGAGCATTTTTCACCCGTAATAAATTGACTGTCCACAAGAGGTATGTCTGCCGTGTTCCAAACGATCACGCGGATCTCGTATTCCTCGGGTACGGGCGGGCTGATGTCGATCGGCGGCTTCAGAGGAACCTCGCCGACTTGAAACATGTCGATCCACATTTCCAATCTACCCTGATCGCACGAGAATCGACAAATCACATTTCTAGAACGAGTATTCGCAGATGATCGTTCGAAATATCATCATTTCCTTCCACGAAAATTTGCCCCTCGATCGATTTATTAACGAATTATCGTGAAAGGGAAAGAAAATTACAACCTGCTCCAACCCGGGTCTTCCGATATTAAAAAGCGGCCGTCTCTCCACGTGTTCCGGAACCAGGCAGCACCCGCATATGGGGAAGTCTTGCCACTGATGGAGCACGCTCAGCGCCATGCATTCCTGTAGTTCTGAAAGAGAGAGGGATCATCGATGTAATTCGGATTCGATCGAAATCGTTTTCGACTCTGCACAAGATATGACGAGTTGACGACGTGACGAAACAGTATAGTATTCGTTAAAGCGACGATTTTTCTCGAGCACCTTTTTGGCGGCGGAAGGATTAAAGCGTACCGGATTCAGGGTACTCGGTTTCGTCGAAGGGAACGTTTTACGCCCGATTTTCACGTAACGGTCCCTGTACTTGGGCAACGGAAGATTGTTCCTCCTGCACAGCTGCTCGAGTATCTGCGTCGGTTTCTCCCGATCCCTCCACTGATTGTACCCCTCGGCCGCGTATATCTTGGATATGCCGCACGTGGCGCGGTGTTTGCTGTAGAATCGACTCTCGATATCGATTTTCGTCTCCCCTATCAGGTCGTCGGCCGTGGTCGCGTCGTAATCCCATACTTGCACGATCATCGTGCAATCGCGAGGGAAAACTGCCTCTATCTCGAAGAACCTGAAGAAATTACGAAAGATATTTTAACTTGTTAATCAACAATTTCATATTTCATACCGAGTTGATGGTAATAAGGGAAGGAAATGTTAATTGTCGTGTCTTTTTTTAATTGTTTTATTTTAATTGTTTTATTCGTATCGATAATTCTACGTAAAACTTATTAGTAGAACTAGTAAAATCTCGTAGACAGACGATTTCTTTGGAATGTAAAATGCAATGGGTCAGCACGTACCGTCCAAAAGTTGGGTTCAGCTGGTTCGGTATGTAATTCTTTTGGTCGCTGATATACGTTTTGCCAAGCCGGATACAGATATACGGATCGGATTTTCCGGTTAGAGGATCCTGAGGCTGCAAGTTGATGCCTGTGGAATCGATTGGTTCGCGTGAGCTTCGATGAACACCCGAATGAAATATATACCGCGCACCTTTCACCACGTATAATCTAACCACGAGTTTGATAGACTCCGAATGCGGATAATCGTCGCACAGGCCATTGCTCGCGCTTCTCCCGCTTCTCGTTTTGCAAGGCAAGTTGTTGGGGTGCGGCCAGCGATACACGCAAATACGCCCCTGTCGGTAGACTTTTATTAATGGATTTATAATTTTATTAATGGAATTTTCTTAGATGGAGAAGAAGAAACGAGACGCGAATCCAATTGCTATTACTTCACGTTCGTTCTCTTATAATTATAACGATTTAAAAAAAAAAAGGCAATTTATTTCTTGCTCATGCGAGAATAGGGAAAGATGTTTCCTTTGGAAATTATCTTTCGATCATTCATCGCCAGAAAACGTGGATCCTTCGTCAATTAATAACTCGTTCGAGCAAACGTTTAACGTTTCGTTAATCGAACGATGCAAAACTCCTCTCTTCCATCGAATTTCGTCGAGTGAAATATTCAGAGGAGGAGGGAAATTCTGGGGAAAAAATTTGGGAGAGAAAGATAGCGGAACGTTAAAGGTTGGAGGAAGGCAAACCTTGAATTTCCCGACGTAATTCTCGCTGTCGTAGTCGGGATCCTCGCTCTTGCGCCCCTTCCAGAGCTCGAACGTTCTCAGACGATCCTGGAAGCCGGAGAATTGCGGCTGCATCTCCAGTTCTCCGTCGTATACCTGTTTCCCGCCCAATGAGACACCTGAGAAAATTCGCTAAACGCGTAGGATACCTTGAACGTCGCCGTGACCTTCTGTTCGGGTGGCGGAATACCGTTCAGCTCCCTTCTTCTTTCCTCCTGGAAGAAGGTCTCGTTCCAGTTTACCACCGATTGAGCCGTATTGTTACAAGCTACAGGATATTCGTCACCTCTAGGGAAGCGAAGTATTTGGCCCACCAGTCTAGCGACTCGTCCTCGTCGCTCGTGAGAAATTCTTTCTTTCGCTCTTTCCTTTTCACCAGATACGTGAAGAAATGTTTCAAACAGAGCAGAATCTTCTTGATCCATGTGATTTTAACGCCCATCTTCTTGTAGGGGATCAATTTCTTGCGCTCGTCTTCTTTTTTCGGATCGAAATCGATCGGCAGAGGCACTTGAAAATAATTTTCATCGTGAAAATGGGTTTCGACTCGACGAATTTGTTGAAAGCAATGATTCAAAGTGGAAATTATTTTACAGACAGTGATTTCTTTGATTTGATTTTATTTACGAGATATAGCTAGTTTTACTTTCGTCATGTTTCTTTTTTTCTTTTTGATCATCTTTTGGAGAAAATGCTCGAAACGCGTTTCGATGTTTGCATTGTTATATGATGTGGTTGTTGAAAACAATTTCGGTAAATTCGAATCAATCTCTATGAATCGCAAGATCGTAAACGATTTTAAAACGATATATATCTACCAAAAAAAAAATAAAAAACGTATTTGTATGAATATTTTTCAACGGTTTTAGAATTTTATGCATAAATTATTTTAAAAAGGTGTTGGAATAAAATTTTCAATGGATCAATGAAAGCAATGACTATGGTCGAAGATCGATGCGTCGAACAAAGGCGAAAAATCTACTAGAAAATCAATCTCGAATTAATCTCGATTTCCGCGAAAGCGCGGGCACAAATTTCTCCCGAATGGTAAAAAACATTTGTCCGCAACGTATAAACATTCTGTGCAACTTTAATTAACAAAGTTTTCTGTTGCGTGCCGAGTGGGGCCGGATATTCCATGGCGTTATTAAACCGTTGAAACCGACCGCGTTCAAATATTTAATAACTACTTGAAACACCCCTGAAAACAATGGTCGAACACGGTGTGAACACGAACTACATGGCCAACCCGTGTCAATATAATTGAACTCGGAGGATATTGTATATTTTACATATCGGAAGAAATAATATCGATACAGCGCGTTAGACGGCGTCGGTAGAAAATATTCGATGCGAAAATTACGCAATTTTTCCCAATATTTGAACTTTTCGAAATTTACATTTAACCACCGTGTAAACTTTAAAAATCTTTGAATTTCAAATCAATCGAAGGGGGGGTGACTTACGAACGGTTTCAGGTTTTTCCACGAAAGGTTTGAAAGGTTTGAAGATCCTTTTTTTCCCGTATATCTGCTCCTCGTAATCATCCTCAGTTATTAACTGCTCCAGAAATATGTTGACGCTCGGTATGATGCAAATTCCAACGTACTTGAAGCAACCGAGTCCCCGCGAGTCGAACGCTTTTATTACCACGCTTGGATAATAGATTTCGAGCTCTGGCATATCCTTCGAGAATTTTTATATCAATACGCTTTCAACATAAATACATCGATTTTGTAACGTTGGAACGAGAGATGGAGCGATTCTCCCTCCCTCTCTCTCTCTCTCTCTCTGCGATATCCAAAGTGAGTGCAGTCAAGCGTTAATATCAAGTCGATATATTCATCGACTTTCAGATGCGTCAGTGGTAAGATAAATGAATATTGGGATGCATACGAGCTGTCATACGAGATACGTCTAGAGAGAGAGAGAGAGAGAGAGAGAGAGG